TATTCTTCTACAAAAATAACCGTTCTTTCAGATTTCTTAGATTGATTCTATTTATTGAATCCTGAGATTCATTGTTCCTGATAACCTTATCTGTTTTAGCATTCTCCCCAGTCTATATTTACACTTTTTATTTATCCTTGCATTTTGTGTTAAGTTACGCCACATATCCTCGGAACTACGTATAAATTTAACTCTATCTATTTTTCGGGTAAACATGATGTATTATGACTTGTGTGAATCGTCGGTTTTGGTTTTCAGGTTATTCGAAATCGATTTGGAAGAATGAATTTCTTGATTGAAGTTTTAAGTTGGAAGAATTGACCAACTTTGACATTTGTATATTTGACCCGAAAACGGAGTTTTTGATGGTTCCGTTAGGTCCATAGGGTGATTTTGGACTCGGGCGTATGCTCAGATTTGCATTTGGATATTTCTCGAAGGTTTCGACGCGAATTTGCGAAAGTTGAAAATTTGAAGGTTTGGAAAGTTCATAAGTTTGACGGGGAGTTGACTTTGAGGGTGGCAAATGGGCCGGTTCAGGACCTGGACCGCGGGCTAAACGGGCCAAACAGGCCAGGACCGGTATTCATGGGCCTGGTTCGGGCTTCTGGGCTGGTTCGAGAATTGGGACCGTTGGGCCCGGGACCGTTTGGGACCGGGACCGAACTGGTCCCTGGCGGGCCAAACGGTCCCAAAGGTCAAATTTCAAAAAAACAAAATCTATTATTTAAAATATAGCCATTGGGGCTGTTACAAAATAGCCGTTGGCTATTTACAACATAGTCATTTAACTCCCCAACTTTGTTTTAACCCCAAACATTTTATAATTATATCTTTTCCCTATTTTCAACTATAAATACCTCCTCATTCTTTTATTTTTCTTACAAAATCATCAATCTATCACAATCTCTCTCTAATTTTCTTCTATAATTGCTACTATTGCTTACTTTATTGTTACAATTTGTGAAACAATTGTGAAGTTTGTGAATTGAAGTCTTCAAGTCTTCAACGATTATCAATTTTCAATAAGTTGTTCGTCAATTCGTTAAACTCATTCCAACTTTTACGTTTTAATATTATAGATTTGTTTGTTTTATTTATTTTCTATTACTTGATTAATTAAGATGTCTTCCATAAAAAAAAAATTTGGTAAAAATAAGGGAAAATCCAAGAGTGGAGAATCTAGTGCTCAATCTGTTCCTCCTCCACTGCCCCAGGCTCCCCGAACCAAACCCCATATCTGTCCTACACTTGCTATTCTTGATAGCGATAATAGTTTGTTACAATTTACCGAAAGTCAATTTTGCCATAATATTAGAGCTGGTGAACAATTAGACCATGAATTAATGAATGCTCTTTATTCTAATCCAACTATTGATGAAAATGATGATGAGGAAATAGATTTTGATGAAACTCAACCGGATGATGATACACCCACTAGTCCTGCTCCTGATGTTAACCCAACTAGTGATAACTCTGCTAATCCAAAAGAATAAATAAAAATAATTTAGTCAAGTTATTTTTCTAATTAATTTTTTTCTTAAAAAGCATGTAAAAACAAAAACAAAACAAGCAAAAAAGGTCGGAAGAAGTAATATTTGGCTTGATACATGCGCGATTTATCAACTCAACTTGCAAAGATTTCCCTTATCATATTACACATCACTTTTACAGATGATATACAATACGTCTCATTTATCAGAAGTGAGTATTATATCTTATAGCATGACTACTTAAACGAGTTGTATACCATGCCACAATTCGTGTTGATAAGTAGCCCAACGCATGCTGATTTGATGAAATCGAATTAGGGTTCTATGCTAACATTGGGAAGTAATTTGAAGCTATTTCATTCATAAAAAGAAAAATGATAATTGTCTTTACATAATATCTACGCCTCTCAATTTATAGAGACTGGGAAACCCGAAACTAACTATTGGCCCAATCTGCTACATTCAATGATAAATACAAAAATGGGCTTGGTCCAATACAAAGTAGAAATGGAGTGGGATAATTACTTTTTAACATGATATTTAGTTTTTATCCAGTATTTTTATAGCCATTACTCTATTAAAATTAATACGAAAAGATATTTTTACCATTTGTTCACGAGTGCTGTGTAAATATTAAGGACATGGTGTCCTTAACATTTACACTGCACACATGAAGTTAAGGACATGATATCCTAAAATTTAATAACGGAAGGTGCAAATACATGACACTTTGTCCTTAATATTTATACATCATTCATGAAGTTAAGAACACCATGTCCTTAATATTTGCACAACACTCATAAAGTTAAGGACACCATGTCCTTAATATTTACACTGCACACATAAAGTTAAGGACACCATGTCCTTAACATTTACACTGCACATATGAAGTTAAGGACATGAGGTCCTAAAGTTTAACAACAGAAGGTGCAAATACAAGTAAAGGACATTATGTTCTTAACATTTACACTGCACACATGAAGTTAAGGATGCCATGTCCTTAACATTTACACCGAACATATGAAGTTAAGGACATTGTGTCTTAAAATTTAACAACGGAAGGTGCAAATACATGACACTTTGTCCTTAATATTTACACAATAATCATGAAGTTAAGGACACCATATCCTTAATATTTAGACAACACCCATGTCTAGCACAGGGATATTTTCGTCTGGACGGGTAAAAATTTATTAAGCACTGTCTAAAGAATAAATATATTTTAAATTGTGGCTAAAGAGTAAATACATCTCTAATTATTGGTTAACTGCGCACTTTCACATAATAAAACAGAACCAGCCCAACTAGGTAATGTCCTTTACATAAAATATTCCAACATGTGTTCGAAACGTGTCATAAACTAAAAGGGGAAAAAGCACTTAAGGGCTGTTTGGTTGAAGGGATTGAGTGGGTTATGTCGAGGAAATAGCACTTAAGCACTTAAATTTATCATATGTCAGGTTGAGGGTATAAGCTAAAATACGGATAAATTTTACACCATTATAATTATAATTCTAGTTATAATTCCATAATAACCTGATTTTGAACTAGGGACGGCTCAAGCACACGCGGGGATTTGAAGCCAAAATTTAATATGAGGTCTAAATTTTTAAAAGAAAGTTATAAGATATGTTTTTATTTGAAATCTAATCTTCTAACTTTTTGAAATAGAAAGTTGTTAATAATCTTTTTATATAATCGATTTTCTCTAATAATTCCTTTCAACTGATAATAGAGTTAACTCATTTAATCATTCTTGAGATATTGTTGTTCTTAGATAAGATTTTATAAAATTGTTGAACACTTGAACTAATCAAATCTTGAAGAAAGAAGGTGAGTAATGAAATCTTGGAAAAAGAATGTGTATAAGAATATTAAAGAGAAAGAAAGAAAATATGTAGGAGTTTATGAAACATGAAGAGATTGGGGAAAAGAAAGATTGATTTGGCAAATTAAGAAGGGAGAGTAAAATTTTGACACGTTATCTAATGAATGAGTAAAAAGTAAAAAATTAAAACGTTTGAAAAATTATTCATCTACTCATTTTAAGTAAATCAAATTATTACTTTATTTGTATATCTAAAGAGGTTTCTTTTCTTTTATATTAAAAACTTTACTTTTATATTAAAAGTACTAAATATTATTTTTTAAATACGTATAAATCTATTATTCTTTTTAAAAAAATGGAACCCCAAATTTGGTGATGTGAGGTACAAGCCTAACTATTCATAACTTTAGAGTCGGCCCCTTTTTTAACCATACTACCCTCGCTCATCCCCCTCCCCCACCACACACACAAAAAGCAATTTTGGTTGGCCAAATTAAAGTCCCATTATAGATGACTCCATAATTTTTCGACCTAACTTTCTGTCCTTTTTCTATCCTCATTTATTTACGCCTTTGAATTATCTTTTCTTCCATCTCCTTGCAAATTCACCCTGGTACCATTTCATTTATAGCTACCACCTGCTTCCTATCTTTTCATTTATTACATATCCAAAGCTGTGAAGAATTTGAGAAGATTTCTGCTGGGCTCTTGTTGATGTATCTTCAAAAGATCCTCCCTGCAAAATGTATGTGAGCTTATGTTACGTTCACTTTTGAAATATAGCAAATGTATTGACAACATATGAACTGGTAATAAATAAGTTGAAGTAAAATAATCACGGGGCAATTGAAATCAAAAGCGATTGCAACTCTTTTGAAACTTAAAAAGATTTAGATGAAATTGTTTTACTGTTTATACGCGTGTGTTTCTTTTTACCTTTTATAACTAGTATACTACAATATACTTTTGACCAAATAACAAAGATCACTTAACCAGATATGATTTCGGAGTTTTAATTTTTTGCAAGTAATATGTTACTGCATTCATTCACTACTCTTTCATGTCCAATGTTATATGTTTTAATTTTCTAATATATATATATATATGAGTTGAAGGTAAATGTGATTAATTTTCTGCGTGAATTCAGAATAAAGAGTTTAAAGCAAGTGCCGAACATCGGATAGAAAATCAAATAAATGTGGTGAAAATCGCTATTGAAATATTACATCTGCCGTTGCAATAACCAGACCTCACGCAATTAATCTCCCGAAACTGAGAGTGTGCTATATCAAAAGAAACAAAACAATTTCAACGTTTATTAATTTAATCATAAGTGTGCTCAAGCTCGCTATTTAATCTTCTTCTTCAACGTAAAGATAGACCTTTTAATTAAGATTACAACGTGGTATGCTGGTGTCTAAGTTGTACAATGTTGGGGTAGGACCTTAGGTTCAATATATTATTACTTTGGTAAGGAGGATAACATATTTCATATAAAGATACTTTTGTTCTTGTGAAAAATATTTTGTCGGGTGAAGTCGTTTTATTCTTTTGTATTTGATTGGAAAATATTCAAATATATTTACCTATCCGTCCATATATAATAATCTCATAGTTATTTCTTTTAATCTCAAATGTGCCCTCTTTTTACTTTTTGTTTCCTCATTGGTGTTTGCTATCCGCAGACTTCGATTAATTTCAGAAAGTCAACTTTAAAGGAGAAAATGCTCCTTCTATTTCCAAGGTTCAAAACTAAAACTTCTTATTACCAATAAAATAACTAATCTATTTGAGGGTTGAATTAATCTGAACTCGTGATGTGACGCATAAAGGTGACTAACCAATAAAGGTGGACGGATGCTATATAAAGTTCTATAGGAGCTTTCACAAATATGTAGAAAATAGGGAAACAAAAAAGAGAATAATGGGAAGAAAAGTTGACTATCGCCGCCACACCTATATCTATTGCCTAACATAGTCTGTGCCACCGCGGCCGCCCGCCGCCCTACACAACCTAGCCTTCCTTCCAAAAATTTAATTTCTAACCACCTATAAGAACTCCATTTATCCAAGATTTGCATTCAAGGACTTACAACTGCAGGAGCCACTGCTTCATATTTGTTCAAGGTATTTGTCTAAACATTTGTATGAGATGTACACTCAAGTTTCTATTTATTTTGATAAACAAGGTGGAAAAGTATATGATTTGGTTCTTCTTTCGCTTATGTTTTATTAGGAAAGTTAAATGATACTCTCTTGGTCTGTGTCATATTTTTCTGTTAATTTCACTATGGCCTGGACTATTTTTTAATTTCACTAAAGTCATATAACTATTTTTTGTCACTTACAAGTAACTAAACTTTATCATTGTCACTTAAACGTCATTTTGTCTCAAACCCCTACCATAAATATGATATGGCATTAAATTTTATGATAAAAATCCAAAAATAAATGCCACATAAGCTAATATGGGTCATACTCAGTTTAGATCCATTTATCCTTTAATGTGATTTGATCCATAATCCAAATGAGTTTCGATAAAAAAATATTAATTCCACGTTAGTTTAAAATGATTATCCTATACTACAAAGTTTTGTCTTTTCTATCACAGCACATTCATAATTATTCTATACTAAAATAATTTATGCTAGAAAATTCTTATTTTGTTTGTATGCCCTATCCGAATCATTTTAAAATACTATTGTATACAATAGTATTTTAGCTTCAGTAGAGTTATAAAATTACTCAGATGGGGCCTACAAACAAGATAAGAATTTTCTAGCCTAGATTATTTTAGTACAGAATAATTATGAATGTGCTGTGACAGAAAAGACAGAACTTTGTAGAATAGGATAATCATTTTAAACTAATGTGGAATTAATATTTTTTTTTTAATCGAAACTCATTTGGATTATTGATCAAATCACATTAAAGGATAAATGGATCTAAAATGGGTATGACCCATATTAGCTTATGTGATAATTATTTTTGGATTTTTATCATAAAATTTAATGTAATGTCATATTTATGGTAGGTGTTTGAGGCAAAATGACTTTTAAGTGACAATGATAAAGTTTAGTTACTTTTAAGTGATAAAAAATAGTTATATGACTTTAGTGAAATTGAAAGATAATTCAATGGATCTAAAATGGGTATGACCCATATTAGCTTATGTGGCATTTATTTTTGAATTTTTATCATAAAATTTAATGTCATGTTATATTTATGGTAGGGTTTGAGGCAAAATGACTTTTAAGTGACAATAAAAAAGTTTAGTTACTTTTAAGTGACAATAAAAAAGTTTAGTTACTTTTAAGTGACAATAAAAAAGTTTAGTTACTTTTAAGTGACAATAAAAAAGTTTAGTTACTTTTAAGTGACAATAAAAAAGTTTAGTTACTTTTAAGTGACAATAAAAAAGTTTAGTTACTTTTAAGTGACAAAAAATAGTTATATGACTTTAGTGAAATTGAAAGATAATTCAATGGATCTAAAATGGGTATGACCCATATTAGCTTATGTGGCATTTATTTTTGAATTTTTATCATAAAATTTAATGTCATGTTATATTTATGGTAGGGTTTGAGGCAAAATGACTTTTAAGTGACAATAAAAAAGTTTAGTTACTTTTAAGTGACAAAAAATAGTTATATGACTTTAGTGAAATTGAAAGATAGTTCAATGACCATCAGTGAAATTAACACTATTTTTTCTTTTTAATCTATAGTGTCATAACTTCTTATTTAAAAATAATTTATCTTTAAATTTCTGATTTTACCATTAATGAGATGATATATAGTCATTAATATTTATGACTTGTTTATACCACAACTTTTAGAATTAGTTTTTTAAAACTCTATATTCAGTCAAACACGGTTACAAATTGAGACAAAAGAGAGTACATATATTAGCTTAGTCTTCTGAATAGGATGTTTTTCGAGTTTGTTAGAAATAGGCTATTGATATCATTGGCGGATTTACATTTTTGGTTTATTCATTTTTGAGATCTAAAGACAAAGAAAGAAAAAAAGTTTCTACGGGAGCGGTCTAGTAGTTAAAGAAATCAGGGCCGTTTGATATGATGGATATGATGTCTAAGAAAAATAATTCTGGTACTAAAACTTCTATACGTCTTATCCCTTCTTTGATAGTATTAGTTGCATTTAAGTGGTGCAATATACATTATAATTGCAATTTCAATTTTATTTCTAAAAGAAGTTAGTTCTTAACCTAAGGAAATTCTCTCTAACTAGATTTCTTTTCTGCCTCTCTCTCTCTCCATTACTTTGTTGAAAAAAATGGAAGTATTTTGCTGATACTTGTCTTAATTTTGTGCAGACACTACAAAAACACTAACCAAACCAAAGCTAGCTTGAAAAATTAAGTCCGACAACAATGGATGTATACTCTCTTATTCCCGTACTGATAATCCTTGGATTCACTTATTTTACATGGTTCTTAATAAATAGAAGGTCGAAAAGCTCAGCGCCAACAGATTGGCCCCTCGCTGGAATGTTGCCTGGATTAATTCAAAATGCTCATCGAATCCACGAATTTTTCACTGATATTCTTTTAGAAACTGGGAACAATTTTGAGTTCCGTGGTCCTGTGATTTCCAATATGAACATGTTATTCACTAGTGATCCTGCAAATATCCACCATATCCTTAGTAGAAACTTCTCAAACTATCCAAAAGGCCCCGAGTTTCGTAAAATATTTGAAATATTAGGAAATGGAATCTTTAATGTTGATTCTGAATTATGGGAGATTCACAGGAAGATCACCATGTCTTTAATGAGCCATGCCAAGTTCCAAATTTTGTTAAAGAAGAACGTATGGGACACTGTCGAAAAAGGTCTCGTACCAGTTCTTGATGCTTTTGCTGAACGAGGCACGACGTTTGATTTGCAAGATATTTTTCAGAGATTTACTTTTGATAATATTAGTAAATTGTTACTTGACCATGATCCAAAAAGTTTATCAATCGATTTACCTCATTTGCCATGTGAAAAAGGCTTCAACGACATGGTTGATGCACTTTTGTATAGACACGTCTTACCAGAGAGCTATTGGCAATTGCAAAAAAAGCTTAATATTGGTAAAGAAAAAAATCTCAGTCAAGCGTGGGAAGCTTTTGATCAATTCATATATCCTGCCATTTCGCAAAAGCAAGAAAAGCTACTACTGAATAAAACCAACAAAGACGAGGATTTTGACTTATTTGCTGACTACATCAAAGCATACAATCAGTGGACGAATGGAGATACTTCTGGTAATGTACAAGAATTTCTTAGAGATACTTTCTTGAATTTAATGTTTGCTGGGAGAGACACCACAAGCACAACTCTCACTTGGTTTTTCTGGCTTTTAGCTAAAAATCCCTTAGTAGAGACAAAGATTAGGGAAGAGATTGAACAGCAACTGCATTTAAAAAAAGATGAAAACCTCAAGTTTTTCGACATAGAAGAGTCAAGAAAACTGGTTTATTTACATGGTGCATTGTGTGAAGCTCTTCGGCTATTTCCACCAGTTTCACTTGAGCATAAATCTCCACTTGAACTTGACGTTCTCCCGAGTGGTCACCGTGTTACTCCAGACATGAAAATATTGATATCGTTTTATACGATGGGAAGATTGCAGACTATATGGGGGAAAGATTGTTTAGAATTCAAGCCAGAGAGATGGATTTCGGAGCGAAGAGGCATCAAACATGTGCCATCTTACCAATTTCCAGCTTTTAATGCTGGTCCAAGGACTTGTATAGGGAAGGATATGGGTTTCATTCAGATGAAAATGGTGGCGGCCACCATCATATACAATTACCATATCCAACTAGTGGAAGGACAAACCATTTCGCCTACTGCTACTGTTGTGATTCGAATGACAAATGGTTTGAAGGTTAGGGTCGTCAAAAGGGACGTTCCTCTTTAGTCCAAATGAATGGTTATCAAAAATTGCGTAGACTATAAATAAATTGAGTTAAATTGATAGGTATATAAAGATGTGTGATAAATGGTTGTAATTCAACCCTTTTCCATATGGAAGGGTTGTGGAACCAATAACTGTTTTATTAAATGCGACTGAAATAATTGCTCTATTTTGTTAATGTCTATTCGGTAGAGGTTTGTTTACTGCTTTAGTTTACTTTATCTTATCACGGTACAAAATCTTGCTTTTAATATGAAACCGTTAGTTTTTAAACTTTGAGCAACGGTAGGACGTATCATACTCCTCTTGATAAACTTTAAAGATATTTTTTATTTACAAGCGTAGGGATGAAATTTAAGTTATAGTAGTAGTTTAGGAACGTTTTCGGCCAAAGACTCACAACGTGAACGTATATGAGGAAGCTATCATTCTTCTTAAACTGTATTTAACCAATTGAATTTTATAGACGGGATAAACTCTCTCACTAATAGTTTGTTTGGCCAAAATTTCCAAAATTTACTTATTTTGAAAAATAATTTTTATCGGTAATGCTTTTCAAAGAAGTACTTTTAGAGAAAAATTCTTTGTATTTGGCTAATCAATTTGAAAAGTATTTTTGTCAATATTGGAGCGGTAATTTGTGCTTGACAAAGTTCCAAAAGTAATTTTGGAAAAAAACTACTTCTTTTAGCTTCCGAAAAATAGCTTCTGCTACTACTTAAAGAACTTATTTGTCTCCTAAAAACTTGACTAAACACTTTAATTCTCTAAAATAAAAACTTTTTTAAAAATAAAATAAGCACTTTTGGTTTCTCGGTAATTTGGCCAAAGAAGCTATAAGTATAATTGTCTTTTGGGTTGCCATCTCTTGTTCATATATTACAAATAACAAACTAAGCATAGAAGGTTAGCATCTATAAGATACTCTCACATTTTATATGGAAAAATGTTCATAAAGCACTACAGTTCAAAGTCTAATTCGATACGTAACTACAATTTGTTTGATTATCATTCGTAGTTATTGTTCAATTGTTATCAGCTTGTATCAATTGTATTTCGACGCGCAACAAATACAATGCGTGAATTATATTCGTTTGCACAACGAATACAACTTGTAGATACAAGTGTATATGTTTGCTGTGCATCGTAAATTTTCCTTTTATATACTTCAATTTATTTTCATACTTCAAGTCGGATCTACCTTTTACTTAAAGTGAAAAGACATTTCGGTTTTTTTTGACAAAATCATATACCAAATACTTCATTAATTGGTTGCACAATTACACGTCTTCCTTATCTATTTCCTCTATTAACAAAAAAAATATAACTTTCTATATATAGTAATTTTTTAATTTAATATTTCTATTTTATTCTTACTGACTTATAGAATTGACATGACGTATTTAAAACTGTACAATATTCAAAAGATATACAAACTTTTAATTTGATCATAAGATTCAAACAAAAATTTATATTTTTTGAACTTCATGTCTATATAAACTAATACTCACAAAATGGAACGAAGGAAATTATATGTGACATTTAAAAAGTAGACACACAATATACAGTCAAAACTTAAATTTTCTACAAATATTACCAACAAAAAAGAAAAGGGAAAATGCATAATTAAACCCNCTAAACTTTTTTTTACCTTAATTGTTTGGACCTTTTGTGCTGAGCTGGACTGGTATCCCAGTTAAAATACATGCGATGTAGACACACGCATCAATTATTAATAAAATGATGGTCCCCATCCCATTCCCCTTTTTATCTTTTTTTACCTCTTATTTTCGGTTTCATTAAAACAAAACACATCAGACTTAAAATTTTCTCCCATTCTTCACACTCATCTTCCCTCTTCGATCCTTAACGAAATCATCAAAACTTAAATAATTTCTTTGTTCTCTTGCAATTGGATACTAATAGATTGAAAACAAGTATAAAGCCCCTATTTAATGCTTCGATTCAAGGAAGGGGAGATCAGATTGGAAGGATAAACAAGAATAATGTTCTAGGGTTTGTCGTATGTCGATTGAAGGTCAGATTGGAAGGCTAAGCTTTTTATTCGTCACAATCCAAGAGCAAAGGTTAGTTCTTTACTGCATTTAATTACTTTTGTGTTAGATTAGGGTTTTTAAATGCTTTTAGCCATTGCGATTTTGCGATTGGCAGAATAAATTTGAGATTTCTTGTCTGCATGTTAACCTCGGAGATTTGATTGTGCATGGGTTCAATGAAAAATTTTGATTTTTAGCAAATAAGTATTTTTCTAGCATAGTATCTATAGTTTGTCGAATTCTGCTAAATTTGGTTTTATCGACTGTTTTATTTTTTTTCTTTGTTTGCATATAGGTCTGAGTGGGTTTGCTTTAATCACTTTAAGATTGTATCATGGTAGGGTCTTTGAGTTTGGAAATGGGGAACCAAAATATGTTGGTGGAGTAATGAGTGAATTTGGATGTTGATGTGGGAATACTATCCTATTTTGAGTTGAAGGATTATATTAAAGAACTAGGGTACAACGCAAGTTGTAAATTTAGTATTCGGCCAACTAACTGTGGCATTTTAGAAAATATTAAAAATGACAAGGGTCTTAAGTCTTTACAATATGGGGCTGTTTTGGAAGTATATGTGTACATGCGTGAGAAGGAATCTTGTTCAGCTTTTAATAAAGGGGTTGCTTTTAATGGTTCTGTTGCTCCTCCAAACACTGTTGCTCCTTCAAACAAAGTTGTTGCTGCTTCAATCACTGCTGCTTCTCCTCCAAGCATTGTTGCTCCTCCACACACTGCTCCTCCAAATATAGCTACTCCTGCAGATCCAAAAGATTTAACAACTGCTCTTTCAGACCCAAAATCTTCTCCAACTGAAGATTACTCAAGTGAAGATGGATCTGATGGATCAATTGAAGATAATGATGATTCTGAAGACAGTCTTCTTTGGGGGGGAGGGGGGTGATTATGAAAGTGATGTATATGAGGAGTACATAGAGATTAGGAAGGAAAGTAGGTCATTTCAAAGGAGAAAAAAAGGAGAAAGTTGTTGTTGATACTAAAGATGTACCATGTGGTGATGCTGGGCCGGATCTTGGTTTTGATTAGACTGAAACAGGTAAAAAAAGTGTAGAAGGAAGGCTAGGTAGTGATGAACCATATTATCCAAGTTCTGATGCTTATAGCTTTGAAACTGATGAAGATGAATGTTGGAATGAAGATGGGAAGACATGAAGGTAAAGCTAACAAAAAGGAGATCTACATCTACAAAGAGTGAGAAGTTTGATAAAATATGTAAAAAGATTGTATGGCAGTTGGGTATGATCTTTGAGAGTGTTGATGACTTTAGAGATGTAGTAGCTAGGTATGCACTACAAAAAGAGTTTTGATCGAAAAGCATGTAAATGAGTCAACAAGAGTCAGGGTGAGGTGCAACGAGGATAACTATAATTGGCTTTTGTTTGCAAGCTTGGACACTGTAAGTAATAATTTTGTTATAAGGACTTACAATCTGGTTCACAAGTGTGAGAGTGCCTCCAGAAATTATTCGTGCAATTCTAAATTCTTGGCCAATGTCTTTAAAGATAGAATAACTGAACAACCAAACATAAGAGTATTCAAGTTACAAGGATTAATTAGAAAGAAATTCAAAGTTCATGTTGGTAAGACCACAACTAGAAGAGCAAAAGCTAAAGTACTACATCAAATAATGGGTGATCATAATGTGGAGTTTGGTAGAATTCTTGAATACAGGGATGAGTTGTTAAGGACCAACCCTGGCAACACTTGTGTTGTGAAGCTTGGTGAACCTCATGAACATTGTAGGCTAGTGTTTGTATGTTTTTACATCTGTTTTGAGGCACTGAAAAATGTATTCTCACTACTAGAAATTCGCTAAAAACCGACCAAAAAAATCGACCAACGTTGGTCGGTTATGGCCAATTACAGACCAAAACGCGACCATTACGGTGTGGACGGTGTTTTGATGGTCGGAATGGCTTACCGACCAACTTTGGTCGGTAGCTTAAAACGACCATCTGACAAGTTTAATTACTTACCGACCAACTTTGGTCGGAAATATATTTTATTAATTTAATTTTACCGACCAAAGTTGGTCGGTTTAACTAAATTATATTTTTTTTATTAATTATTAAAATTTAAAAAAACGACCAACTTTGGTCGGTAATTAAAAATATATATATATTAAAAATAATTAAAATTAAACATTACCGACCAACTATGGTCTGTAATCTCAACAGTGCAGGCAAAATACCGACCAGAGTTGGTCGGTAATGTTGAATTCTGGGAATTCAATGTTCATTAACCGACCAACTTTGGTCGGTATTTTCGAATAATTTATTTTTTTTATTAAAAACCGACCAACTTTGGTCGGTTTTTCTGGGTTTAATTTTGGCATAAAATGCCTGTTTTGGCAGCTATACCACCTGCCAGCATACCAATACACCTAATAACAATAACAACACAATAACAACAACAACACAACAACAACAATAATAACAACAACAATAACAATACAACAACAATAACAACAACACAACCACCACCACCACCACAACAACAACAACAATATAACAACAACAACAACAACACAACAACAATAACAACACAACAACAACAACAACAACACAACAACAACCAAAACATTCAATAAATACTTTAAAACTAACAAATTAAAGTTCAATTGAACATAAAAATTCAAAACCAAGTTAAAACTAATTACAACTAGTTCAAAACTGGTTCTATTTGTCTAGTTCAAAGTATATAAAAGTCAAGGGGTATTTTTTACAACATCATCATCACCGTCTGATGAACTTTCATTTACAAGACAATATAAAGAACGGTCTTGCGGAGGACGAGAGGAACGATCACGTGGAGGTCGACCCTCTGGAGATGACTCACGAGATCGGGGCAACGAAAAAGCTCCACTAGATAGGAGAGTTCTGATCTGAGCTTGCATGCCAAGGAATTGAGCATCTCTATGCCTTTCTCTTTCCTTGGCCGCTTCTAGCTCTGATGTGAGCTTTGTCACTGTCTCCCGCATAGCGGAGAGGCTCTCCCTATTAAGTTGCTCGCCTTGCGAGGAAGTCCCTATTCCTCGCATTCCACACTTATAGCGATGGAAGTTTTTAGTACGAGGCCCGGTCCTCGACCCACCTAT